TCGATGGTGGTTGAAACTGAGGCGTTAGCTTGGTGAAAAATACGCGTTGCAAAAGTGGTAGTAGTAGTTGGTCAGTAGATGTCTCTAGGAAATATATGAGGGTATTTAAACGTTGTAAGCGATAGCTTTCAGGATTCGTAGAAAATTAGGGATGAAATGGAGTAATTAACTTTATTATAAAACGTGAGTCCTAGTCACAGAGTGTATTATCTCTCTCTAACTCTATAACTCGTATTATTATAAAGATTTTATCCCACCTTCCACCAGGAAGCAACTAAGCAGCTTACAGATACAATAGCTATTGGACTACAACACGGCTTCAGCCAGCAATTTGTATGCGCTGAACTTCAGCGATAACTTTAACTTGGCCAGAAGGAAGCCATAGTTTTCATGGCCAGCTCGCATAGTTGGTCCATCATCAATTTAGCCGGGTTACAGGCACTTGGCCCATCTCCACGGCATAACCATTAAAGACAGCAGACATTCAGGGCCATAACATAATGTTGCCCCTACCGAAAACGCCCGATTTCCGCCCACCGACAGAGTTTTGATTTATTTGGCCCGGCATTTAGATACAAAAGCCGCGAGGGGAGATTGTCGGGGAGCTGACAAACAATTTCGCTGGCCGTTGATGAGATGGGTGGCGGCCACTACTCCTTGCCGCCTTCCGGAGGCTGTGTGGGCGTGGCCCGCAGTACACTGAATGCGAAATCGTAAACTACACGGCTCCACTTCTTCCAAGGCAATTGGCAGCGAGGGGCGATAAATAATTTCAATGCTGCGGTTGCTTCTTTCATAATTCCAAAGGGCTTTGATCAAACGTCAGGGCCTAAGCCTATTGGGCCACGCCCACCCGGAAAGCGTAGCAGGCACGCCTACCACTTGAACTTCGACCTCCTGGTTGCCACTTTGACTGCGAATACTTTTCTGGTCTTTATGATTTACGTAAAGGGCTTTGTGTTTGGAGCACCCTAAGATTGTGTTCGGTATCTTGGGCTACGACTCTTAATAGAATGTTTTAATTAAAACAGCATTCATAGGTTTTAAGTCAATGTGCAGTCGGGAATTGTCTATGCAATTATAGGAATTCAAAATGTACTACTTCATGCATTGAAAAAACCCCACAAAATATTAATTTTACGTACTTAAGGAATGCACTTTGTGGATTTTTTCTTTGCTAATAAAATTCTCAAATGTATTTAGTTGCCTTTGAGCCCAAACTGTCTGGTCAATTGGACAGCTCGCACTCCTTAAAGCCCTTTTCCTTATCCATTTCCCATTTTCCGGGTAGGTGTGTATTCTGGGCCTTTGTCTGGCCCAAAAGTCTCGAACTTGAGCTTCGTTTCGTGGCTCGCTGATTAATGAATTTGATAAAAAGAGTTTTCCACATGGCCAAAGAGATTCCCGCACATTTCCCTAATTAACATGAGCTGCTGCTGTCATAATGAATATATATATAACTATGTATATGCATATATACATACGCATTTTCCGGGGACATTTTCATTATGGCTTCCGATGATTTGTGCGCGCCGATAAGCGCACCTTGGCTAAAAGCCAAGTTATGAGCTTCACCCTGCTATTGACTACAGATGAAGTCGCTGCTTGCGCTGTTCCTATTCCTTTTTAATTAATTAAGTGGTTGGAACGGGCGGAAAGGGGGCGGGAAGGGGAGGGAACTGGGGAAAATGGCTAGCTCAGCCGGAAATAAAATGAGGAAAGGGCTTAAAGATAGCCGGACAAATGCTGCTACAACTCCCATGCAACTCCTTCTGATCAAGTGGGCCCCAAGGACTCGTAAACATGGCCAACACACCAAACGTGTCCTGGCCAACACACACAACTAACGGCAGACAGTACGTGAGGTGTCGCCCATTTTTGAGTCGAGTTCCCAAAAACTTTTTCACGCAGCATAATTTTTTCTCACCCCGCTCGGCTTTCTTTTATTTGCGCCCCCGCAGGCTGTGGCATGTGCGAAATGTAACACTTGTGTAAGGTGGGTGGGGGGAAGGGGGCAGGGGAAAGCGGGAAAAGCGGGAAAAGCGTCTGCCGGCCAAGCAACCGCAGGACAAAATGCTCTCGAAGGACAAACGCCCGATAAAGCTGACAGTGAATAATTCTGGCAACTCGCAAATGAATGCGGATGAAGCGTATACATTTCAACCTCACTGTGAGTGCATTCACACTGCCGCTGGAAATTCATCGCCCAGCTCCTTACGATTGCATTCACGATCGGGGCTTTGGGTACTCCAAACACAAATGGAAAATCAACGAGGGAAATTTACATGCACTGCAACTTTGCGTACCTTCACATATTACATTATATTATAAATCGAGTGCCCCTTTGTGCCATTATTGCAACGCAGCTAAAACTGGATACCTTCTTCACTGTTCTTGCCCATCAGTCGAATCCTTTAATCACTAATCCCCATATTCATTAACTTTAAACAGCACAAAAAACACAGGCGATAAACACTCATAGAGACGTGCAAATTGCGATTGACGTGAATGGCTATTTGGAATGATTGCCCCATGGGTTTTTCCTCGCAATTTGCATATGCTCAGACACGCACTCACATTCCATTCCAGTTGGAGTATGGAGAGCGGAGAGTGGAGAGCGGAGAATGGAGAATGGAGAACGGAGAATGGAGTGCCTTTGGGGGAATCCCCTGGCCGAATGAATCGAATCCCCACATGGACGATGGCCTTAGTCCTGCATTTGCACGTGTCTTGGACATAAAATTCGATGCCCCTTTGCTTTTCCACTTTTCCGCTCCTCCGCTCCACCGCTCCTCTGCTCCTCCGCTCTTCCGCTTTTCCAGCTGATTCAGCAAACGAAAGTCCGATTGGAGGCGAGCGTCATTTGCAGCAATTGCAGAATGTATCTTTCGGATGCGAATGTATCTTTTGTGCCCGTTTATGCCCCCAGTAATTGTTATGAACTTCATTCCGGATCGTTGGCATGTGTGTGTGCGTGCCTGGATTTCTGAGGGAAGTGGATATTTTTCTACTTTTTTTTTGTGGGTAAGCTGGGTGTTTTTCGGGGAGGGGAACTGGTTTCAGAAGGTGGCCTTTCAGCAAATTGCTTTGATAATTGTTAACATCTCATGCGCGGCAACTTAAGTTGTCTCCCTCAAATTGCCATTGCGCTGCACTACTCCACATAATTTCGGGTGGGCGGCGGTGGCAATCTGGGCGTGGCACTTTACACGGCAACTTGTTATTTTGTGGTTGACTAATTGCATGTGTGCGCATAGGAGTCCCAGGCTAAAGCCATAGTTCGCAGTAAGAATGTTGGCGAAAGGGGTTACAAACGGGTTAAGGGGGCTGAAAGGGGGTTGCAAAGGGCGCAAAATAGGGGAGAGGAGGTGCGGGGGCCTGGTCACTGCAGAACATGGCAACATGAGCAGCAGGATCAGAGTCAGACCCCAAACCAGGAGCCACTTGCTCAGTGCCGACATGAGATTTATGCTGCCAGTGATATGCCCAAACAGCAGGCAGGATGTGCACTGAAAGAAACCTGTACCAGCTGGTTGACTACGTAATTTGTACCATCCTATCAGCCATAAGTCCATTTCCAAACTGTTGAACTGCACATATGTATATTAACTGAAATGTAATAAGAACTTGTAAGTTTATCATTTTTATTAGAAGTACTTCTGATATTTGTCTTGCTGGTTTGTTTATCGTTTGTTCCCTTTATTTTCTCTCAGTGCTCGTCGGTTTTCAGGGTCCTTCCGAAAATTCAATGCGCTTTTCAGCAACCGAGAACTAAATCAACGGCATCCCAGTGTTGGCTCGAATTCGGTGGGCGGGCTGCGGATAAGGATGAGGATGAGGATGAGGATGGGGGAGTGGCACTTCCTGGTTGGGCCGGTGAGCAGACAGTGCGTATGCGTGATACTCGGGCCGGGAGTCGGGGGCTCTAAAATATACTTTGCCTGCGCCGGGTTATGGTTTTTGCGGTTGCATTTCGCAATTTTGCAAATGATAAAGTGATCCAGGCGAAGGCATCATGGCAGCACCACTCAACCGCCCAAGCGCCCAAGCACCCAAACAGCCAACCCATCCACCCACTTTTGGTGGGTGTCAGCGGCAATGGTTCAAGTGGTCACAGCATGACCACCGCCCAAAGATGAATGAGCCATTGGCCACAATGCAATGGAAACTGTTGCTACGCGACTGCAGTTGAAGCCGTTGCTGTGTTCAGGAGGCAGTAGGGGACTTCTGCCCCGTTTCCGTTAGAGGAGCACTGGGTGGAGCACTGGGTGGCCAGAGCTCTGGATGGGTCTTGCAGAGCGGGCACAAACACCGCACATAAAACAATCAGCCGGCGGCCACAGGCTGACACGAAACGCCGGAAGGAGCACCAAAATGAAGTCACAGCACCCGGAACCCAGCACAAAGTCCGAATCATGAAAGGAGCCCCACAGGAGGCTATTGAAAGGAGCGGGTGCGTGGACCAGGACTTGGAGGCGGAGACGGAGGAGTCTTCTTTCCATGGACAGAGGCGGGGACATTGCGGCGGCACACTTCATACATGAGTGCGTTCATTTGCCGGCCTTCTAATCAGTTTATTTGCCGTCGGGGGAAAGTAATTGGAAGTTGTTGCACTCAATTACAGTTAATGTGCAATGGGCAACGGTTTGCGCGCAGCGAGTGCTCACTGTAATGCGATTGAGTGGGAAAAGTGCAGCGAAATCAACATAATTAATTGACCGATAACAGTTGGCATAAAAGGCACGGCATCGCGATTGATGTCCTATTAACATAATTTATTTGACGGTAGTAAACTTTCTAAGGGTCATAATGGGTTAATAGCTTTATAGTAATATAATGCAATTCAATTGAGCACGATTAGCATAACTAATTAGCTATGCAAAATGTGGCAAATTCATGCTACTTGTATGTAAACAAGAGAGAACGCTCAAGCCGCGTTTCTCGACTATCAGATACCGTCTATCCAATCAGCTGGCTGCAGCTATTAAGCAAGAAACGAGTTTTTTGGTGTCAATGTTACATTAATTTAATTTCGCGTTTACACAGGTTTGAGCTGAGTCAATTACATACAAAAAAAACGGTGGTGCAAATAAACACGTTTGCTGCAGGTGGATGAGGAGCTCTACAACTTGCTCTTCACCTGGCGCAGAATGGGGAACTTGTCGTGGCCAGTGCAGCCGCCGCGGAAGTCGTCGAAGCTCAGGTCGACAACGGCGATGCCGCCGAGTCCTTCGCGCTTCACATACTCCGCCTTGATGGCCGCCGTATCGGGATCCTCGTAGCCCACCCAGACGCCATTCTCACCGCTGTCGTCGGCGGAGCGGTAGGCATAGCTGCCAAAGCGCTTGGTCGGATCGCCCACCTTGCGCAGCGGACCATCGGCGCCCTTCAGATGCTGGTTGGCGGGATTCGGGAGCTTGGCGCACACCTCTGGCCAGCTGAGCAGTCCGGGTATCTGGGTCTGGGTGCCGGCTGGAGCCACACCGTCGGCCTCGGCGACCGGTGGCAGTCCAGTCAGTCCCGAATCCTTGGTCAACTTCCAGGCACGCCCGTAGGTGGCAATGCCCACGTTGATCTTGGCGGACGGAGCACGGTTTCCGGTCCAGTACTTCACCTGGTAGTTCACATTGAACTCCGGATTGCGCTCGTTCAGCTCGTAGATCGGTGCCGGGAAGTCGGCCACCTCGTTGTTGCGCTCGGCGGTCTGGAAGTCGTAGGCGTGCAGGTTCACGTAGTCCAGATTGTTGATGATGGCCGGGACATCGAAGAACACTGCGCCAGATGAGCAAAAAATTATTGCAAAATTGAATAATCAGCCACAGAGCAGTGGAATGTTTCTACTCACGCGAAGAGTTCACGTTGGGCAGGACACTGAGGCCCAGGATGTAGCCATCGGGACGGAAGGCGTTCTTCAGCTCGCGAACCAGGGCAGTGAAGGCCTCCTTGTGCTCCTCGGCCTTCTCGTCGACGACGTGGTCACCGCTGAAGATCTTCTTGAATCCCTTCCAGAACTTGCCAATGCTGCCGTGGACCTTCTTCGGCTTGTTCTTGGGGAACTGCCAGCCGAGATCGAGGCCATCGAAGCCGTAGGTCTTCACCAGCGAGTGGGCGCTGTTGATGAACGGTATCCTGGCATTGCTGCTCTCCAGCAGGGTCAGGTACTTGTTGTTCTCGGGGTCCACGGTGTCCTTGTCGCCGCCCACGCTGAGCAGGACCTTGAGGGCTGGGTACTTGCGCTTCAGTCCCGTCACCTGGCGGAACAGGCCGCTGCCCAGATCCAGATCCAGCTTCTCATTGTTGCTGACCAGCTTGTTGCTCGAGGGATTAATGCCGGCGTATCCGTAGACCAGGTGGGTGCAGTACTGCAGGGCGGGCTCCAGCTCGCTCAGGATCAGCTTGGAGAGGCCTACATCAATACATTTTATGTATGTTTATAAGGAAATTATGAAGTATTCCCCACAAGACTGTACGCAATTATTAAGCTGCTAAATTGAAAAAACATGTGCTAATATTGCTAACACTTTTTTTCCAGTGAATCCTCCACCGGCAGCAGTCGACTCGAGTGCGCTAAAATAAACTCGGTTTGCATCATCAATTAGCGCCTTGGAGGTGGCACCTCTGCTCGTGAATCATCAACGTCGACCACCCGATGCCAATTTCAATTAGTTCCAGTCTGGCTTTTGCTGCGGGCTTTCCTCTCTATAAGCAAACTGCCCAACTTGGTTGCAAAACAACCAACCTCCTGATCTTGTGACCCGTTGCCAATTATCAGCGCCGCAGGAAAGTACACAGTTTTATGCTCTTAGCATGTGCCTATGAAAAGTGAAAATCATCTAATTGAATTGAGCCCGCGCAGCCCTCTATCTCTCCGTTTCAAAATACCCACATACGACTATGTATGTAATACATACGCTTTCCTGCCACCGATAACCCCGATTCTTATCAACTACATACAAAGACTAGAACTGGGACTTACCCTCGCGTACAAAACTGCTGCCGTCGTAGTAACAAAGTAGGTGATGGGATCCGGCGGCGGAGATCTGGCCAATGGCCAAAGATCCCACCAGGAGGGAGAACAGGGCGTAGAGCTTCATAGCTGCGAATAGGAGAGCAGAATTATCAGAAACTGTTAGCGGTCGGAAAGTTCCAGAAGCAACACTTTGTGTGTGATATTTGGGAATTTACTCTTTAAGGCCTATATTCTCAGAATACTATCACTTTTAATAATAATAGTATGATATAACTGAACTATATATACAATATAATAATAATATAACTATTAATAGATCAGCAAGCTGATACTCCCATGTATAATCATCATTAGGGATCAAGCGAAATGGATTCTGAGAACTCTGGGAAGCCCAAAGATAGGAAATGTACGTCAAAGAAGTTATAGTTCCAGTTCCAGGCCTTAAAGAGTATATTATCACCAGACACAGATCTCAGATCACAGAAAAAACAAAAATAAAACGGAGAAGGAATATTAGAGTGACTCCACTGACTTGTTGTGCTCGCATTAAAGGTAAAACTGAAACTGCTCGCCGGCGGAGGTGATCCAAACTTTAAGTGAACTCGCTGAGAATGCGAAAGCGGGCAAGACGAAGAGGCAGAGCGAGCGGCCGATGAAGCTGCGGAGGCAGCGGAGAGCGCGAGGGCGCAGCGAACGCAGCGAGAATCAAAAACTCGGCTTGGAAATGAGATCGTATTCCTATTCCTATTCGCATTCGTATTCGTATTCGTAGAGATAGAGAACTTTGGCAAACAGAAACAACAGAAATTAGTGATGTGTGTGGAAAAGTAGAAGCGAAGCGAGGGGCGGCTGAGAAGTACGCATTTTGACAAACGATAATGATCTGGGCGGCAGCTGAATTTCAATCGGTTTCGAGTGCTTCGAAAACCACAATCACCGAAGTGCACATAACCTTCACTAAATTGGGTTCTAAGATTGTGTTATTCACTCTCCGAAGATCACTTAGGCTTTTGCAAGTCGTTCGTTAATTGCACTTAAAGTGGATGAGTGTTGTAAGAAATGAGTTATAAAAACTCATGTATAAGCTAAAACCCTTTAATGAGGCACAAAATAATTATCATTTTTTTAGCTGCATTACTTGATTGGTATATCTGCTAATTTAGTCACCCAAAAGCCTAATCAGTGCCAATATTTTGAATATCTTGTTAATATCCAACCAGGGATCAATGCCGAAGTGCACTGACTAATTAAATTAGGTGTAATGCACTTGATTTGCCCGAAACTAAAATTTAAAAACGGTTCGTTTGAATAGCTCGTTATTCCCTTTGAAACACGTAATTATATCTAGCTTAGCCGCATAAATTTCACCAACGCCACAAAAGCCCCTTTGATCTGCTCTCGTTTTTGATTTCCTCTATTAAGTGATTAAGTGTGTGTCACTGTTGTAATGAATTTTTGCTATATGCTTTTTTGTAATTTGGTTTTTCGCTGGCAGAGCCTGTTTTTTGTTTAACCCCGCGCCCCTTTGTGATGTCATCGTTACCGGGAATCGCTCGAGCAATTATACAATCAGGCCAACGCGTCGGGCATTATTAAAGCCATATTCACAGTAGGTGTGTAGGTGTGTAGGTAGAGATACTCGTATATCCCCATTAAAGCGACAGCGGCTTTATTTGTTTATTTTTGAGTTTTCGATGGAGGATAAGCGGCCGAAAAGCGAAATAAAATATCATATGGCGCATATAAATCGCAAATTGACAAAGTAAACTTCGCCGCCTGGCCTTTGCTCCATTAATTTGTGTAAAAATTGATTTTAATAAATAAACACTGGCTGCATTGTCGCCTTCGTGTTCGTTTTCGTTTTCATTTTCGTTTTCATTTTCGATTTTTGATTTTTGATTCCGATTTGAATGCTTCAGTCTGGTTCGGTTCTCAAATGTTTACTCATGGCATCGCCTCGCCAATCGAGCGACTTAATCAATTTATGTCAGCGGCCAGAGAGGTCAAACACATACAGATACAGATGCAGATACAGTTCCACACACAGATACGGATAGATGACAGGGAGCCCGATTTGGGTCCGTCTCTAGACCCATATTTAGTTTTAATTTGCTGCCCCATCTCGCGGCTTTTGGCCCAAGGGATTTATTTGCTCGGGGATTTTGACGGCTTTTTGGGGCTTGGCTTTTGGGTTGGGCCTGCTAATGGGTTGAGTGGCTGGCTCACTGAATGGAGCGGGCTTATGACATTGGTTACTCAACGACATCGCTTTTTCCGCATCGGTTTACAGCCATCAAGGGCACTTCAGTTCGCGGATGAACCCGTGGAATGCTTCAGCTCATATATTTAATTTACTCGATTTACATTGCTGGCCCGAGAGTATGCTGCATTTTCGCATTGGAATTTGTCAGAAAATATGAAATCGAAAAGGCTGTAGTTTAATGCATGCCATGCTCGACTGGTGCACACCCTTTGAGTGCCCACAGCCAGTACTTGTAAGGTAATATGAATTTACCTTTTCATTACCTTTGCATTTTAATTGCCAAAGATTACATGAAATGTTATGCAATGTTCTGGCCAAAAGCGTTGCGTAAATAAAGCAATTAATTGTCCAAACTTGGCATTGTGTGCTGTGTACATGTCCTTAGGCAGCGGGTATGTAAAAACCAGCCCATATAGAAACCAATTTATTTGCCACGCAAATTCGCAAACAAGATGCCGAGGTATGTGTGCGTATATCCCAGTGTTTGTTGCACATATTTGAAATTGTAATTAAAGCCACCTTAATCAAGTGTTCCATGGGGGCGGGGAGGGCGAGGGGCTGGCCAGGCCAAATAAACAATAATTAAGTAACAAAAATACTGCCTTCTGCAAAATACAGTGGGTAAAAAAGAGGCGACAATGAGCAATGATTTAACAATAAAATGCAATAAAAAGCTGCAGTTGTGGACGATTCGATGAATTTTATTTATTTTTGTTATTAAACGTGTAATCAGTGGGAAGTAAACAATTAAAAATGTTGATTTCACGCGCTCGCAATTCGAGTTTTTTTTTACATCACTTTTTCTCACTCCCGCTTTTTGCACTTTTGCGGAAAATTCTGTCTGTGCTCGTGGGTGTGTGTAATTTAAACCAATTAAACACTCACCAAATAAACAAGCATCAACAAACTCCCCCCAGTGGCGCCCACCCCCTTTTCCACACCGATTTTCCCATGTAAGTATGATTTACAAAATGGCTGTGAGCCGCAGAAAGAAAGCCAACTGAAATGGTAAAAAAATGCGCCATAAATAAATTTAATACACAAATAAAAGGAGTGAAAACGATAATCAATGACCTGCGTTAAATGAAAAATGAAACAAATATGCGCGGAAAATGAGGGGAAAATGCCACAAAGGAAACTCGAGCAACAATCGAGAAAAGAAACACGAAACTCCATAAAACAGAAGCAATGTGGTCCTTTGAATCAAGTTCCTCGAGAGGCTAAAAAAGCCATTAAAATATTGTGCAAAATAGAACCTGTAATGTGAATAAATGCTTTTGAGTTAAAATACACCAAGCTTAAATCAATTGATTTTACATTTCTATAACCTATTTTAAATCAATTAATTGTGCGTTGATTAATGTGCCTTTGAACATACACAACTTTGGTTAATCATTTTTGCACATATAGCATTATTTACCAGTAAAACTCTAACATGCCGCCTCCACCCCCAAATTTGAGTAATAAAAATATTACATTTTTAATTCGCTTGCTATTGTGGGTTTGTCATAAATCGATTAATTAATGTTCAGTCGCTGGTTGTTAATTTTCCCGCATTTTTTGTTCAGCTGCACTTTTTGTGATGTCATTTTTGTTTTCCTTTTTTGTATTATTTACTCTAATTAAATGTGCAGCATATTTGAAATGTCCGGCTCTGGCATTGAAATTAATCGTTTCTTTCCCCTCCTTTGTTGCAATATTATTTATATTTTCGCAGCAATTTTTCAGCATTTTATTCGCCACTTTCGAGAGCTGACAGAAATATCGACTTGGAATTACAGAGCCGTGCTCGTTGCCTTCGTCTTCTGTCATAAATCCAGCGACAAAATAAAAATTGCACATGGAATAAGAATACGGCAAAAATGGACGACGGAGAAAACAAAAACACACAAAAATTGCAAATAAAATTACGCGAAACAGACGCAGACGACGCTGGCGACAGCAGTTGCAAAACACATAGACATATATATATATATACATATATATATGTATATCCAGGACATTCGGCTTATATACGCTTATGTATTTTGCATGTCGCCTAACTTATATTTGTTTGTTTCGCCTCTTTTGCCTCATTTCTGTGCGCTTTTTTGTGACGTTTCGGGATCATTGCATGGCTGAAAGGCAGAAATGGCGAGCATGGGTTAAGGCGAGGGGTCAGAGGGTTAAGTCGGGCCCGGCATAAAGTCAATGATGCACAAAACTACGAGCACCAGCAGTGGCAACAATGAAAGCGCACAACATCACCCATTGCAACGAACTTGAAATGCCCTGTAAAATATTAGCCTTAGGTACGTGTACCATTAATGTACCATTTCTGCATTTAAATATGCATTTTAACTTAATGTAAGTAGTGGGTATTTATTTATTTATTTTCCTGACTTTTAACTGCCTGTGCAGTGGCTCGATACGCTCGATCGATACCCTGTGGTATCGCCACAAAGGATATGGCATCCGCATATGGGAACGCTGAGCAGAGGCAGTTCCTCCCGAATGTTCTGGGCACGTGCACATTGCGCATACGCCCCATCGCACATGGGGAAATGGAAGGCGGTGGAAATTGCTTTATCACATATGTATATGCATAAATATCTGAAAAATATTGTTTAATGCCGGAGCCGAACCCACAGCGGATCGGGAGTGGGATAATGGATTAGCCGGGATCCGGAGCACGGATGTATATATATTGAAATCTGGAACCCCCACTGAATGTCAATGCCTGGTCCTTAAGCAATTTTGATCGATGACTTGGTCGCTGGCTCACGCACTAAACTGATTGACTGACTGCCTGAAGCAGCGATTGACTGACTGAGTGCCTGACTAACTGACTTACTGACTTACTGACTGACTGATGGACCGACGAGTTTTCTTCCCTAACAAATGATGCTGGCATGCTGGCGAGGCATCAGGACAAAGGCTCCTGGCTCCTGGCTCCTGGCTCCTTTGGTCATATCTCAGATACAGCCGGTGGTAGGAGGGGAAAACTTTTTACCAGATTGCCTTTGCCTTGAAATAAAAAAAGAAGAAGGTCACTGGATAGCACGCATTGATAAGCAGCGATGGCGAAAGTTTTGATTGAAATTAATAATTTCCAATTGCTATTTTAGGCGGCACTTTCTGCGCCCCTCGTCCTGATCTCCGAGTGCCAGAAGTTGTCAATTTGTGCCAAGTCTGTTGCCCAGCAATACATCTCTGCATCTCGTCCTTCTGCTGCCAGTTTTTGCTGCTCTGGTGACGGCACCTTGGTGAAAAACTTTTAAGCATCGAGTACTTTTCCAGCTTTCCAATTGATTCAAATATAAATGGTATGTATATTAACGTATTAGTTTTTGAAGTCCGATTTGGTTTTTTTGGATATTTAAGCTGCAAAT